CTGGAACGTATCTACGGCTTTGTTACATACTCTTGGTGAGGAAGACAATTCAATCAAGTATATGGGAGAGGCACAAAGCTGGACTACTGGAAAGGGAAATTCAACTCACCCATACTATACCTATCCATGTGGTAATCTGTAATGCAAAAAAGGCACTGGGTGGAGATTCCGAAAGTATCCCAGACACTGGATGATCCTTACCAGACACTAACGTGAAGCCTCAGAGGTGGAGATGGATCAGCCGGTAAAGAAGCTCTTCGCTGTGGGATGCTATTCCAAGCCGCACTCTGGCACACACACCTTCTTCACCATCCAGGATGGAAGCTGGTGGCATGGACAGAAAGGAGGGTCATGGAGACACCTTGTTGTTTTCCTTGCACAAAGCCTTCTCTCTCCAGGGAAACCGTGCAGAGAAGGTAGCCCGCATGCTCTTCAGTGAATATTCCTGACTGTTCCTGAGAAACTTGTGCCCGTCCCAGCTGTTTTCTTCCAAATCCATCTGTTTTCTAGATTAGAAGGCTAAAGCCAACTGTGCACCTCAGAACTGAGTTTTTGTTCCAATTTTCTGCTAAATCTATTCCTTTTTGCTGGGAGTTGCTACCTTTTGCATCTGTTTTGTTCTTCAATAAGCGAGTCTCCCGGGCATTTAAGAATAATGGTGTAATCTGGATATTTTAAGTGCATTCCCCCCACCCCAAAGGAGGACTTGGCAAGATGGAGTGGTCCCCAGTTACAAGTACAAGCATTTGAATCCTAAGAGTTCTGAGAACCGGTGGTTTCCTCCCACCGACTCTGGAGAGGTAGACCTGGAGAGGTCTACCTCTGAAGGTAGACCTGCATACGTGATACTAATGAACAGGAACTATACACCTACCCTGTGTTACAGGACAGTACATGGCAGTCGGTTTGGCAGGGGAGAGGAGGAGTAATGTTGTTGGCTGCTGTGATTAGTTAGGCAGATGGTGCTGGTGTGAGTTCATACTGAAAGTCATTTTGGGACATCCATGTTTGGTCTGGACAGATATCCTTGGCCACATCAGATGCAAGCCCTATCTGCAGAGACTGCACCGATGTCCTAGTGCAGATGTGCACATGCACGGAAGGCTGTAGCAGAGCATCAGCCAATCCAGAGGCAAGCGGAGGGTAATTCCTGTTTGGCTGGAGGCTTTCCTGGCCCACCAACAACTCCTAGATGAAGAGTTACTTAGTGATGCTGGAACAACAAAGAGTCGCCCACGTCATTGCTCCTCAGATACAAGCAGATATGCCACGTTCATCCCTTTAAGTTGAATATGGCCACCACTGGGCTCAGGGTGAAAGCCATCTGGAAAAAAGATGGGCCAGTGGCTTAGGTGCAGGATTCCTGGGTTCTATGTCCAGCTACGAGTTGCTGTGTGCCCTCAGACAAGGTGTTTAATAACTCTGTTCCTCAGTTTCCCTGTCTATCAGATAGTGGTAATCTCACCCCTGGCTCCCAGGTGGATTTGGAGACTTAGTCCATGTTTGACGTGCACTGAGGTCCTCTGTCTGAAGGTGCTGTAGCCAGGTAGGACAGGCCTGTAATACACACACAAGGATGTTACAAAGGTGCCTGATGGAGCAGAGAAGACTAAAGCCAACATGAAAAGACACCTGCTTACAGAAGGAGCAGCTCTGTAAGAGCTATGTGCCAAGTCATATGTGCTACCTCACCGGCCTCTCTTGGCTGGCCACCCAGTTCAGGAGACCAAACTCAAAATGTCCTGGCACAGGCAGTGTGAGTGAGCAGCTTTAAAAGCAGCCATAAACACAGAGCATAAATGGGCTGCCTAGACAGCTTGAGAGAAAGTTACTTGCTCTTTGCCCATAGCAGTTGAGGTAGCAGACACACCGGAGGCATATGGGCAGCATTGCAGGGTAGAAAGGTTCAGCTGTCATGCCTCAGCTAAGGCCACAAGAAGAAAGAAAATAGGCTTTGTTGTAGTCATGGGCCCCTGAGCTACAAGGCAGGGGCCTGCTTTCCTTCTACATCTGTAAGGCACCACATGTTCCTGTGGCACCGTGTAAACACTAGTGGTGGAAGTGACTACAGCTGGGGCCCTTTTCTCTGTAAGAAGGAAAATCCAGCCCAGGCACTGGAGGTGTGGGTGCAGGGTCTGGCATAGGACATGGCTCAAATGAAAGTCCTGAGAAAACAAAGGGCAGGACTAGGAAAAGGGCAGTCACTTGGAGAAGAAAAGGATTCAGCTGAACCAGAAACCAGACTCAGCTTGGAGAAGATAAGGGAGGACATGGAGTGCCCCAGACGGATTCCTAGACCCACACAATCTGGATCAGCTTTGGTTCAGCCTCTAACCATTTGGACACTTACTTGAGCTGTGCGGCCCAGATCCCAGATCGATAATGGTCAATGCACAGACAACACACATCAGGAAAGTGTTGCAAAGGGTGCCTCTGAGCTCCCCTGATCCTGGGCCAGTAGTGCACTGGCATATCTTACTGCAGTCTAAAGGCTGCCAATGGCATTAAGAGGCTTGTATAACAGTGAGGAACAAGAAGGCAAAAGATGTCACTGACACCTCCCTTCCCTCATCCCCATCCCCTAGAGCAGTCACAAATGTGAGAAGCAGAAGTTTTAGCCCAAATCACAAACAGGCAGAGGGTCCCCAACCAGAAGCAAACAGAAATGGCCTTGACACACCCAAAAGCCCAGTTCTACCTCCATGGGATATAAGCAACTACCCTTTACTTCAAGCAGGAGCTGTTTGTGTCCCATGGCTGGACTGTCAAGCACCCTGAGCGCAGAGCCCACAGGGGCTTTATTCTTTTGCCAGAGGTCATAAAAAACTCCCACTGAAAGACCATGAACCCTGTCTGTGCTCAGCATGGCCTTGGCATGGAGCGGCATGGAGCTGCTTTTGGTCAACCAATGAGTTACAAAGTAGAAGGCAAAAAAGATGGCCCCCTCTTTGAAAAGTGACCCTTCCCAGGGACATAAAAGGATTGTTCCCAAAACAAAGGGATTGTTCCCAATACAAAGGGAGTCATGAGTCTAACGTAAAGAAGGGGGAATGTAGGCTGCAAATCAGGAGAAGCTTCCTGGAAAATGAGGTCTGTTCACCTATGAAACTGTCAAGCACAGAATGTGGGGGAGCCCCCACCGCATACGACAGGCGAATCCTCTGTACATCCTCTACAGGGGACAATCCTGCGCTGCCTGAGGGGATGTGGCCTGGGGGAGGCTGATGATGAGCTCTGATGCCTCTGATTCTGTAATTCTCCCAGATCTACAGAACACGACCCAAGGTGATGAGCTCCCAGGGACTCTCCATCTCAGGCTTCAGAGACCAACTCCTGACAATGGAGGCTCAATATGGGCAGGCAGGGATCCTTATGTCTTTTTGGGGAGAAAGAGAGAGAGATTTTTTTCTTTTTCTTGTAATAAATCTCCCACTTTCCTAAGGATAAAAATCAAGGGACTTTGTTAGCCTGGAACTAAACCCTGAGCATCAGAGGTCTTTGCCCTGGTGAGGTGGGAACTCCCTCTCGGATTCAGTGACCCATACTCTCACAATCCTCCACACCCCCCTCCTCTCGCTCCCTTCTCTCCCACCCACCAGGACTTTCGGTCAGTTCCAGTCCAAACCCGGGCAGCTGTGACTGAAAACAAAGCTATTTCACACACAATAACCTTCTGTCCATTCCCAGATGCTGACCGCTGCGGTGGACAGCGGCTGGGGCTGGAGCCATTGACGGTCCGTGCCAGGCCCCTGCTGGCAGGAGACAATGTTGGCAGTGATGGAGAGTAGGTATTTCAAAAGGTTTTGTTTTCAGATGACCCGCAGAGCCAGTGTGACCCTTCACCCCCACCCCCACCCACCCATGCTCCACCATCCCAATAGCAACTGGCCACATTCCTGACCT